AATGATCAAGTGTTCTGGGATTCCCATTCTTCTCAGAGTCAGCCATAGTTTGTTATGATCTACACAGTCAAATGCCTTTGCATAGTCAATGAAACACAGAAAGACATTCCTCTGGTATTCCCTGCTTTCAGCTAAGATCCATCTAACATCAGCTACAATATCTCTAGTACCACGATAGCATTGATTTTTATTTTTAAAAATTTATTAGGTTTATTTTCTTTTAAGATTTGTTTTTGTTATTGTTAAGTTTGATTTTGTGTGACAGAGGATCTATAACTAATTGATTCAAACAATTGTATTTGTGAAAATGTCTTACATCGTTTTAATAGTAACTGTTTCTCACAAATATAAACATGAAACAGCCATGCACTTCATAGGTTTTAAAATTGATAAAACTTTTTTCTCAATCAGGTTTATTACAGAAAGAGAAAATGGCTGTTGAAGCCTTTCAGATTTGCTGCCTTCTCCTGCCGCCTGAAAATAGGAGAAAATTGCAACTGCTGATGAGAATGATGACAAGGATCTGTTTGAACAAAGAGATGCCACCACTGTGTGATGGGTTTGGCACCCGGACACTGGTAGGTTGATTCCTAACACCTCACTTGACCAGGATTTTGAAATGAAATTTAGATGAATAGCATTAGTAGATTTTTCACTCAGAAGAGATGGTTCAAGGGAGGCTCACTTAAATAGCCTTGTCTTGCAGTCCACCCACACTACTATTGTTCTTCATCCCCATGGTTTAGAGAACATAATGGAAAGTAAAGAGTGAGTGGGGACAGACTGCTGCATCCTGCTTTTCCTCTTAAATGGGCATCTCCTGTTAGCTTAAAGAGAACAAAGCACGGTGAGCAAGGACACAGAATCTGCCAAGCAAGCTACGTTCTCCCCAGCACCAGGACTTGCAAAGCCATTATTACTGTAACCAGTGGGAGATGGACAGCATATATAATGCATTAAAATAACTCTAAGGAAGTCATAAAATGTAGCGTCAGACCAGACAGTTTACAAGGAGAGAGGGGAAACTTTTATCACTCAGAGTAAGATCTAAGGGTTCAAGAATGAAGATATTAAAGGTTTCTGAGTTTTACTTAAAACCCATTCTAATTTTGAATTCTATTTTGGAATAGATTGGTGTATATTTTGCTCTTCTCAGATGTAGTTGAGTTGGTTCCAATACATAGTGACCTACATGCAACAAAATAAAACTGCCAAGTCCTGTGCCATGTGACAATCCTTGCTGTGTTTGAGCCTGTTGCTGCGGTCACTGTGTCAACCTATCTTGATGAGGATCTTTCTCTGGTATGCTGATTCTCCACTTTATCAAGCATAATATTCTTCTTCAGGGATTGATTCCTCCTGATAATATGTCCAAAGCATGTGACACATGAAACAGCAGCATTCTTAATTCTAAAGTGTGTTTTAGCTATACTGCTTCTAAGACAGATTGGTTTATTCTTCTTGAAATACGTGCAATATTCAATTTCTTTACTAACATCATAATTCAAAGGCATTGATTCTTCTTTGATCTTCTTTATTCATTTTCCAGCTTTCATATGCATGAGGCAATTTAAAATACTGTGTTTGGGTCAGGTACACCTTAGTCTTCAAAGTGATACCTTTGCTTTTGAACACTATAAATAGATCTTTGTCAGTAGACTTACCTAGTGACATTATGTTTCATATATTGACTGCTGTTTTCATATATTGACATGCTTATCAATTATGGATGCAACTGGAATTAAATCCTTGACAGCTTCGATCTTTTCTCCATTTATCATGATGCTGCTTTTGGCCCAATTGTGAATATTTTTGTTTTCTTTATATTGTAAATTATTTATTACAATACATAATATAATATTACAATAGAAATTATTTGTAAAGAAATTTCATATATTTCTTTATATTGGAATAATCAATACTGAAAGCGATAGTTTTTGAGCATCACCAAGTACTCCAAATTCTTTTTACTTTCAGTAAGTGAGATTTTGTCTTTTGTGTGTGTACTTTGTTAATGACTCTTTCTCCAATCTTGATGCTGCATTTTTTCTTTCTCTAGCTCATCTTTTGGATTCAACATACAGGCAGAAATATGGTGAAAGAATATAATCCGCATGCAGCCCTCTTGATTTTAAACCACATTGTTGTGTGCCATCAAGTTTGATGGACCTAGTTGACCCTCTAGTGGGGTTTCAGAGGCTCTAAATCACTTAAGAGCAGACTGCTGATTTTGGTGGATTTGAACCACAAACCTTAGGCTGATGGCACAACAATGAGTTGTCTTGTGTATCCTTATTCTTTTCAAACAACTTCCTCTTGAGCTATTTACAATCTCCTCATGTTGTTGTTATATACCGTCGAGTCTAGTATAACTCGTAGTGACCCTATGAACAACAGATCTGAACTTTATCCTGTCCTGTACCATCCTCATCGTTTCAGCCTATGCTTGAGCCCATTGCTTCATCAGCATGTGAATTGATCTCACTAGGATTTTCCCCTCCTTTGCTGACCCTCCACCTTTCTCAGCATGCTGTCCTTTTCTAAGGAATAGTGTCTCCTAGCAATATACTCAGAGTATGTGAGCTGAAACTTTGTAATTTTTGCTTCTAAGGAGCACTCATATTGCACTTTACCTGAGTCACATCTATTTGTTCTTTTGATAGTTCATGGGATATTCAGTACTCCCAACACCACGATTCTTCTGTCATCCAGCTCTCAAAGACATAACAAGTGGCTGAAAAGATTGTGATCTGAATCAGGCACACTTTGGACATTTTTAATCTTCTACAGCAAGTGTTTGAAGTCCTCCTCAGTTTCAGCAAGCAAGGTTGTGCCATCTACTTATTGATTTATCTTCCTCCTATCCTGATACCACATTTTTCTTTTTTTCCTCCCAAGTTCCCCATAAGCACAGTTCATTATTTTGGCATTTTAATTCTTCACGGTATAATTTATTGTGCTCTACCTCGGCTAATGCCTTTGGGGTGGAATAAAACACAGATTAACATCTTCTTGGTAAGCTCTGCTTTTAACCAAGATTCATCTGCTGTAGGAAGTGATATCCTTCATTTTAGATCCTCTTTCAAATATACTTGACTTTTTTGCAGTTCTCTGTCAGTTGATACACTGTTGTAACTGTTTTTAATGATCTTCAACAAAATGTTATTTGTGTATGATATTAATGATTTATTAATTAATTTTTGTTCAATTTTGTTTGCTCTTGCAAACAGCATAAATATACATTTCTGTTACTCAATTGACCGTGAAGACTTTTCTGGCTTTTAGGAATAGACAAACATCTCATATGCAGTATCTGATAGTTGAAAGTTGTGGAACATTTCAGTTGGTGTTCCCTCAATTCCTGGTCTGACTTTTCTCTAATAACTTTGGTGCAGCTTGAACTTATGCCTTTAATGCCGTTGGTTCTTGATCATATGCTACCTCCTGAAATGGTTAAACTTCTAGCAGTTCTTTTTTGGTACAAGCCTGTGTATTCCTTCTGTTTTTAAAATGGTTTTGCATACTACAGTTTATATATATTTTGTTTCATTCATGCATTATATATTTATATTTACTTTTATATTGATTTGCCTGCAAAGTTCTTATAAATCTTGTTTTATACTATCCTTCATTCACATTGTATTTCATATAGTCATTCTCATTCATTATTTTTTATAAAATCAGTCACCATTGAAGCATGCTCACCATCACTGTCTTTCACCCCTGGATCTTTCCTGTTTCTTTTACCGCCACCCCTGTATTTTATCCCTGTTCATCCTCACCCCTCTGTTTCCATCCCTTCCTCCCTTGGATCCTCACACACATTTTGCTAGTTATCCTTCTGTTTTTACAATAATGGTATTGTGCAGATTTATCCTTATTAGACTGAATTAGTTTACTAAGCATAATGCCTTCCAGTCTCTCCAAGTTCTGTAGAAATTTTTGAGGTTATTATTCCTGAGTGCTGTGTAGTATTCCATGTGTGTGCATGTATCACAATTTCTCAATCCATTCCATTGTGATTGAACAGTTAGGCAGTTTCTCTATTCTTGCAATTGTGAATAATGTTACTGTGAACATTTGTGTACAAATCTCCATTTGTGTCTCAGTTTTTATTTCCTTGGGGTATATTCCTAGGAATGGAATAGCTGGATCATAAGGAATTTCTATGTTCATCTTTTTGAGGAAATTCCAAACTGCTTTCCAAAGTGATTGTACCATTTTACAATCCCACCGGCAGTACTGAGAGTTCCTGTCTTTCCACATCCTCTCCAACATTTAGTGCTTGATGTCCTATTAAACTTTACCACCACTACTGGGATGAGATGGTATTTCATTGTGGTTTTGATTTGCATCTCTCGTATTGCCAGCCATTTTGAGCATTTCTTCATGTATCTGTTGGCCATCTGAATGTCTTCCTCTGTGGGAAGTGTTTCCATGTTTCTTGCCCATTTTGTAATTGGGTTATCAGTCTTTTTCTTGCGGAGTCCCTGTAGTATTCTGTGGCCTTGTGTTATGAGATCCTTCTCTGAGATGATATTGCTTTTTCCCAGTGAGTAGGTTTTCTTTTCACCTTGTTGGTTAAAGCTTTTGATGTGCACACTCACTGACTCTTTAGAAGGTCCCATTCATCAATTTAATCCTCTCCTGGATGTGGCCTTTTTATACTGTGGCCTAGGCCTTCTAAGGCCTTTGTCTTTTATGATCTTTCTGGTTTTGAAACATCTAGATTTCTGATCCACCATGAGTTGATTTTTGTGTATGATGAGAGAGGTGTGGATCCTGTTTCAGCTTTCTGCAGGTAGCAGTACAGTTTTGCCAGCAGTACTTGTTGAATAGGTTGTTATTTCCCCATTTGATAGATTTTATTTTCTTCTCAAGTATTGTTGACCATGTTGTTGTTGTTATGAGTCGTTTGTGACTCATAGTGACCCTATGCACAACAGCCCTAAACCCTGCTCTATCCTGTGCCAACTGCACTGCCTCTGACACACCCATCCCGATTACCCCAGTCACCGAATCAATCCATCTCATAGAGGGTCTTCCCCTCCTGCGCGGTCCCTCC